TAAAGTAAAACTACACGAGAAATTTGATAGATAGTTGATTAACGGCGGTGTCGTGGGCCTCGCATTATTAACAGAACCTTCACGTGTAGCCCTGCTGCTGGTGTATGCGGGGAAAATAGTGGCAGCTTGAGGGCCACGGCTATCGGTTTGATTTGCCCGGAATGTAAAATGCGCTGTCCGTTTTGGATCGAGGACCTCGTTTTTTTTGGAGCCAGTCCCAGTTGTGTTACACCACGTTGCGTAAGATTGTTGGTAACCTCCAGTCGTTGCACGATTGGCTGAGCTACATGGCAAAAATCAACGTACCCCGAGGGTTTCGGCACCAGTACACCGCTTTCTCCTTATCTACGTGTTTGGGGTGACAAGAAACTGATCACAAGGTGGATTCGAGGTTTCGAATATTCTCCGACTTTTTATATGCGGTTCTACGTCACAATCTTGCGAGACAAGTCGCAAGAAATCTAACATCTGCTCAGATGAAAGGGCTAGAGGAACTCAAACGACTTTCTGAAATCGGTGTCATAAAGATCAGTGCGAAAGACAAGGACGGAAAATTCGTGGTTCTATTGCAAGATATGGATAGATTCGTCTTTCGTATGCATCCAAAAGATATTTTTGTCAATCTTCCATGGAAGAGTTCGCAAGACAACACCGCCGACGGAACAAGAAGTAGGGCAAAGTTGGCACTTTCGGCCAATCTGCCTAGAACGATCATGATGCGACTGAAATGTGAGTTACTGTTTCCGGTTTTCTGCGCGGCACATCTAACTCACTGACGAAGATGGATGACCCGTCTAATTTCGAAGCCAGACCCTTTGTTAGTAATGTTGCTGGCCTCACCGGCCGGATCTCATGGCTCCCAGTTTAATGCTGATACTACAGCTCTTGCAGTATGTCAGTAAATCTTCCCAATTTCAACACATTGCCTGCGAAACTCAGAACACTAGAGTGATAAAAAATAAAGCCACTCAAGGTCACCTCATTGTACACAATGTGTCTAATGATTGTGCGATGCAGGCCGCTCGAACTTCTCGATGAGCATCACGGTTCTATTAATCTCTATGGCTTATCAGTACCACAGTTCATGAAGCTCCTTAAATCTATCTGTTGTGTAACATATTTAAGAAGGTCGTACGAGTACTACAAACAGGCTTAAAGGCAAACCCCGGGATTAGCCCTACAAGTGTGGAGGATTCCATGAGTGAAATTGTGCGGTCGCTACGAGCAAGGAGGTCACGAAGCCCGCCGCACAAAATGGGCGGTTAGGGCGCTAATCGTTACGACGCCGCAACCATTGACCCCCATCGCGAACCATCGCCTCCTGCCGTGGTTGTAGCAAATATAAGCGACGACGAGTGCGTGCAAATCGCGCGAGCACAAGTTGTCGTTAGGTGTGTTGTGTAGCGATTATCTGCCTAACAGACCTGAATGAAGAGTTCTGTTTGCGTGTTGTTGAAGGTAATCTGTCTGACTCGCGTCTCCGTTACAAGGTAGAACAGACCGCTAAGGCCCAAGCTATGCAAGCGTGAAGTGGCCTCACACAAGCTCACGCACTTGAATTTGGCCTGCCACGGCTCGCATCTTACTTAATACCAGGTTCCTGCTACACCAAGAGCATTGATGTCATACAACCTTCTGGTTTTGAATAGCTTCTCTCTTGTCTTTGATTTTCTTTGTTCGCTTATTAAACCGACTTATCATTACTTATAAAATGCACTTATTATTTCTTATTGTTTGACACTTTCTATCTTCGTTTCGTTTGATTCTATGCACAAATTTCTCATCACTCTGGTATTACGAAAATGTTACAGGTTCTGTATTTTCGAATTAGTGAAGAGTGCAATCATCAAGAAAGCCTCAAGTTTAACCACATGCCGCCGAGTTTTTCTATCAGCGTGCTGCTACTATGCAGCCTTTATGCCTAGACAGGTATGCCTCTCTTGATACTTTTTGTGGGTGTGGTTCAATAAGCAGAAAGCGAATTCTTTGCGCTCCGCAACGCAAAACACTTTTCGCTGCAGGAACCTCAGGTCCACTTTTGTTCGTCAGTGGACCCGAGGTTCCGCCACGGAAAATCAGTGGACCCGGGGTTTCCGGAGCGAAAAGTGCTACGCAAAAAACGCGGAAAAAGTCGCTTTCTATCTTAGTAAACCAACTGTGATCGATCGGGGCGGTGCGAAATCAAATGATTTCGAAGTTCGAAATGTTCGGGTTCAACCAAGCCATTTGGGACTGTTGGAGTGACTGTCTAGAGACACGTCCAATTTGAACGCCTAGAGGTTGTTAGAGTTTTTGTTTTATGTGACGCACATATTGTATGATATAATGACTGCAAATAGCTCGGGGGTCTATTCCAGTTAGGGGGCATCATGATGCAGTTTCTCGGCGAACTAGTGTAAACTCGAACATTCCAGCTTTTCACGCATGTCAAGTGACTGCCCTCACCCCCCCCCCCCCCCTAGGGGCTACACTCCCCCTGGCTCAGAGGTTCCCCTAATTCCCCTAATTATCCTTCAATTCTTGTCATATTGTGTTTGAGCTTTTTATTCCCGGTTTGTTTACATACTGTGTGTGACAACATAGATGGAGCGGGACAGATTTTCTGACAGTCATATTCTCCACTTGGTTGTGTCATGTGCTGAAACCTTCTCACCTTCTAATTCACACTTTTCTGTTCAAATTGAAATGCTCCCAGATATTTTTTAACGTCTACTGCAGATTCTTGGCTCGCGGTTCTGAAAGAGGACGCTCACATGCCTCTGCTCATCGTATTGCGTTCGAAGCTCTGCTGGAGCCTGCCCCCGACCTCATCTGCCCAATATGTGATCTGCCGCAGAAAACCAGTGACGTTGCATGCGTATTTGGCTGTATGTTCAACGATCTTGACCTTGTTAGTGTATTTATCTGTTTTGGGTGTTTATTGTAGATTCATTCCTCTGCTTCCCTTTTATTGGAAATCCTAATTAAGGTAGAGCATTTGGAACGAGACCACAGTGACGTCCAAGCGGATGACATCTGCGATTTCGGTTCCACGTCACCTTTTTACAAAGTTCAATTCAGCGTACTACATTCCCTTGTGATCTCATTCATTCAGAAGTAAGCTCCATGCTGTTTGCAATCATTTCCTCATCATACAGTCTACGACACGGAAAGAATTCACGTTATTGGCTCTCAGGCGTTCAAATTGAATGTTAGTGTAATGTAGTCACGTTCAACAGTCACTAATTGCTTGGTTGTACTCTTACATTAACCTGAAACTTGACCATACACGGCTTCGGGCTTACTGTTGAGAATGGGCGGTCAGAAAGATTCCTCCATATCTCATCCTCATACTGCTCTATGACTCAAACGCCTTTATCCTTTAGGTAGCACGACGCTGAAGACAATTGCTGATGTTACTAATGAAGTGCAGGAAGTACTACTCTGTTGCCTATTCCAATGCTGGCGACACAAGCATTTGGTAATGTTTAGTCAAATTACTTGCAATATTCTATTTAGCTTCTACTTGTTTCTGTTTCAGCGCATTGTCATTGTGGTTGGCAAAATTATGAAGATGCAAATACTGGATTGTGGTGTTGTCATTCATTGGATTTTCAGCGAAAATCTCAGCCAAGTGTCCTTCAAAGGTAAGTATTTTTCTTCCACTTTTTTTGTATGCAGGCTATGTCAGTTGATATATTGATATGTTCAGGTTGTTCCTCCATCTTCGTTTGGCGATTAAGAACAGGAAGGTAAGAAAAGAAGAATTGCGGTTCAAGTACTTATCGACATTGTGTGCACACTAGCTGTCATTTCTTTTACTTCTTATCATTATGACTCGTTATGTGCTTATTGTCAAGTATGCTGTTATAAGTTCACATCGTCTAGTGTTCCTTTCTCGTGAAAGTGTAAATGATGCTCGAGAATGTGACTTGCAATAAATTAGTGATCATTTTTGAGTAGAATAACAGAAGCATATGCAGGAATTGAATTCAGTCACAGGTAAAACAGACTATCACACCCAAGGGGTTTGTCGAGAGAACAGATAATCCATTCAACTAAGTGAGCTTAACATGTGTGCACTCGATTTCACCAATGGGTCGCGAGAGATCACTTCATGGCCTTCCATGTCAATAGTCAAGGGAATCGTGGGATCGCGTGGGAAATGACCGTTGTGGTTTCAGTGCGCTGTTTCATAGCAATAGTTCCTCATTTTTGTAGTTTTCTGATATCGGTGCATTTAAGATTGTGGTTTTCGTTATCAAATGCGGAGATCTTGTGGAGTTTGTGGCAAATTTGCCAACGTCAACACCTTGAAGCGACTGTATCCGAATTCAGTAGTTCCAAAGTTTATTTTGACCATTGTACTGTGGCTTATTGGAGTCTTGGATGCGATAAGTATTGAGAGGGTGGTGGAAAAGCTTAGCAAGTCGATGGCGTACATCTGTCATGATCACGTGGTCCATGCGGTAAGTTAGTGATGATGTTCGTAGGTGCATCAGTAGAACTAAATTTATGAGCAGGCGCAGTATTTGTGTGCTGAAATGGCTGCTGTTGGTAAACGCATTTCATACTGTGAAGAATCATGTGGAAGAAGGGCATACATCACTACGACAGATGTTCCGTTACAACTTGTTGAAGTATTCAATGAACGGTGCAAAGTGGGGTTTAGCACATATACAGTTATAGCAAGTATAGTTATCGCTTGCACAATTCCAAGGGTCGCGTTGTCATCACAGCTCGAGATCTGTGGGTGCTCATTAACGACGCACTGAAGAAGTACCACGGAACGGAGATATGGCCTGAGAAATATGTGGAGGAGGTTGATACAAATTTTTTCATCTTTTTTTCACATAATAGGCAAAAGTTAAGGAGGGGCTGGAGGAGGAGGGGACCACGGTGGGCGCTGAGCACGCGGGTGCTGTTGATGAGTCGAGAACCGCAATAAGTTCTTCCAGTAGGTCGGCGGACGTCGCAGAGGATGCCGAAATGGTTGAGGATTACAGTCAGAGTGATGATGAAGGATCCAGCGGAACGGAACAGGTCTCAACTTCGTTTCGTTATGAAATACGTGCCGAAAAAAGCTCCATAGGTCAGGTCACCTAAAATTGAGACACCACTTATTTGCTTGAAGCTAGCTTACGACTAAGTCTAGCACCAATCATAGGCTCAAGCCACAAGACAATGTGTTGGCATACGCCCAAGCTAAACCTTAGGTCCCAATGATCGCGCAGCTCTGGTGACCTTACCCAAGGAGTAGAACTGCACATCTTCCATGAAAGAGCCTTATTCAGGTATCTGAATACGTACCAAGCGAAAGCGACTCGGACTCCAGCTCCGTTGAAACATCGAGATTCTTAGGACAGACTGAAGAAGCAGATTTACAGAAGTACTACCTTGTGAAAGGAGAGAAACTGATGAAGCTGTTTCGTTTCTGTCCGGAATGCGGATACGAGCTCGGTAGTACACAGCTGAAACCCGTTGGAACTGCGGCTGTAGGTTCGATTTGTGTGCGGGAGGTGCAGTTCGCGAAAACCACCGGTAAAGCGGTGGGAAAGTCAAGATCGTCTGGTCCCACACTCAAGAGAGAGGAAGTTCAAGGGTAACGTTGTTGCGGCGGTAGCGGCCATCACAACAGGCCTGCGTTTTGCGGTCAGTTTCCAAATGGTTAGAGAGGGAGGAGTGTGGACTTACTAACTTATTCAGATGCTGGCAAGGTGGGCTGAGCAGGCCAGGATAGCTTTATTTTTGAAGACTTTCTATTGGGAGGTATTTCAATGGACGAAGCCGGCTATTGAAACCGTCTACCGCTCGCAACAACGCCTTGTTCTGGAAAGGGTGATGAGGGAGTATAAGGTATAAGAGAATATTTCATAGCACTCCCAAAGAGTTAGTTGTAATTTGACCCTTCCAGGAGGGCGAGGGACTCCATCTGGCAGCCGACGGTGCTTACGACAGCCGCGGTTATTCCGCCTGATTTGTAAGGTCGGTGCTGTCAGAAATGAGTACTAAGCTGATTCTCCACTGTGAGGTGCTCCACAGATCGGAGACGGGTGAGACGCATATGACTCAATGCTAGTATACCTACAATACTACAATAAATGTCTTTGCAGAGAACATTAGTACGCGTATGGAGGTTGAGGGCGTGAAACGTCTGTTGCGCTGGGTGGGTGGGTGTGGATTGAAAGTGTCGTCGTTAACGACGGACCGTAGTCGTTCGTTGGGCGCTATGCTCCGAGAAATGGAGCCTGAGCTCGGTGCCATCCCTCATTACTATGACGGATGGCATCTAGTGAAGTGGTTGGGTAATGAGCTCAGGAAGGTAAGACTAGTACTGGCAGTCATTTGAAGAGATACCACGTCATTCTTCCTAGGCGTCTAAGGCGGACGGCTGCGGGAGGATTGCAGCTTGGACGGAGAAGGCGAAAACGTGGTTGTGGACAGCCCTAGAGAACGCTGGGAAGTCGGGAGCGGATGCCAGGGCCTTGTTCAACACATGCTTGATGCACGTTTCGGGCGTGCATGAGTGGCCACTGGTATGTGATTGTGATGATAGAAGTTACCATGCACCAAGGCGAACCATCTTGCAGGATCCGCTCACCGGGCCGTATACGGGCTGTGACACGCTCCACTCCAAGGTCCTCGACCTGAAGAGTTGAGCCCGGATTCGGAGGCGTATAAGGCGTTTCGGAAGGTAATCCTTGCAAAGTCTTTCCAGAAAGATATTCCAAAGGGTAGCCCATACGGAGGAACCTCCGTATGTGAGGCTAAAAACGCGTTGGACAGGATATACTGCCCCAAGGAGATATTCTTTCCTCACGCAACCTACCCGCTACACTGCATGATGGCCACAATGCACATGAATACATTGCGGCTGGAGGAACTTGAGCGGGAAAAGGAAAGTGCTGAAGGTTAGAGAGGTCCAGCGGAAGTACCTCAACAGGAAGACGAGGCTGGTTCTGAAGACTCCAGCACAACACGTTTGGAGAGACTTTGTTTTGAAGGAGGTCCTAAACGGGCGACTTATGGCCTTGCAGGCGAAGGGTCCCAGTGGCTCTCCTCAATGGGTCGTGGACCTAATGGATGACGAAGAGGAATACGAATGGAGCTGTAACTCGGTGAGGAGGTTGTTAGTAAACGTTTATTATACAATACCAAGTAATAAATATCTATACGGCTGAGTCCCGCCACTCTTCACTGTCGCACTCAGCAACACTGCCGCTTCCTGCCGCTCCCTAAAAGTCATTCTTGTAGGGAATAGAGCTTATGGTGAGGGAGGGAAACCTACCCTAAACCCGACGTACACCCCGCTGCTTGAGGGGTACGCATTCATATGGCACCCCTCACGCAGGCGGGATCTCGTATCGCCGGTTCATTCCTAGCTGCCCATAGCACCAGAAGACGAAGGAGCGGTAGGCGCAGTAGCGCAAACTTCTGAAAAAGCATTATTCAGAACACATGTTCTTACTCCAAACAGCGAAAACGTGCTTGTTCTCGTCCTGTATAGGCTCCTTCGTCTTCTTCCTCTCCCATCTTAACGTCATCATCATTACACGAAGCACCTGAAGCACGATCTACAGCACATACTGCTACCATAATAATCACTGTAGATCTACCTGGGGGTGCAGAACGACCTCATAGAATTCAGGGTGCTGGACGATGCATCGTCCGCACTCCTTCATCTTGTCCTGCAACCCAGCCAGGGCTTCGCTCCTTCTGCCTCCTTCGTCCAGTACCTCTCGGCAGCATACATTTTCGCGGATCGTGGTCAGCGAGACACACGATCCGCAGGAGCACCACTCTAGGCTCTCCAATCTGGACGGGGGTAACTCCTTACCCAAAAGCAAGCAGAAGCTAAACGGACTCACATATGATGTTCAAATCACTGCTACTTTCTTGAACTTGTGAAAATTACTTCGGTCTTTTTTCAGCTTCCCTCC